TGTCTGTTCATTTATCCATGAATATAGCTAAGGATTTATACTCCAAAGCTGTGATTTTTAGGAAGCTGTCAATTTTTTAATCTAATGACATTTTAGATTGTCAAAAAAAGAGCTAAAAATTTTTTAAAATTCTTTAAACAATCAAACACATAAAATTCAGTAAGACTGTTTTTTCTAAAATCAGTGTCCAACATAAGCACACAAACCACAGAACAATTTGAAAAAGTGTAGTGTTTTCTAAACAAGGTGGGTCAATGATACCACATACCTGTTTTATCGTATGACACAATCCCGGCTTTCTTAACTTTTGGACGATGATGACTGTGACTCTTTTTTGCTTTTGATGTCTCTTTCTCCTTATAGAAAACTGGTTCTGGAGTAACTGCATGTTGTTGAGATACACTGTCCTTAAGGTAATCTGAAAATAAAACCATTATTAACTGAATAACTAGCATGAGCTATAAATAATACCACAGTAATTCCACATACCAAGCGATAAAGTTGAGGTAGTGTAACATGGTAGTTAAGAGCACAGGCTCTGTGTCCAGCCACCTGGGTTCCAAGCTTAGATACAAGCTTTAACACTCACAAGTCTGTGCGTTAGTAAGTTACCTGTCTGCCTTACTTTTCTCACCTCTGAAATGAGGATTGCCATAGTAAGAACTCATAGGGTTGGTAAGATAATTAAATTAGTTAACACATTTAAAGCACATAGTAAATGCTTACTAAGGTATATGTTAGTTGCTGATTTTTTTATTATACTAAATCTTTAAAGTATGAATCCTCATATGAAATAAATACAGAAAAAGATCCTTTTTATTGACTGTAATTTGATAACTGAGCACAGAAAATATATAAATGCAGAAAAGTAACAAAGGGCCTATTTCTCATTTGAAAATATGGCTTTTAAGAAACAAACAAATTTTATTTGTTCTCCTCATTCATTCAACAGACATTGTATTACAATCTAGTATAGAATAAGACATAGTAACTACAAACAAAAGGAGTACAAATGAAATAGTAAGTTCTAGTTCAGCCAGTAGTCCTAATTCAGAGGAGAGAGAGATAATTTCCCATCTGTATAATCAGAGGAGATCACACACCTCTCCTGTTCCAAGGAATCAAATGTTGAAAGATATAGTACAGTTTTTGATTGTGGTGTAGTGAGAAGGAGGGTGGCTGGGGATGAGAGAAAGATGAGAAAACAGGACTGTTCAGGAGATCACCATGAAAAAATGTGGGCTTTAGTGGAAAGTTTGTGTGAGGTAATTGTGAAAACTTTCCTCTATCTTTAATCTCTATTCCAAAAGTTTTTCATACCTCCTTGCCTTAATTGAAACCTAGTTATTCCCCGTGGACACTACTGACACGCAACCCTCTTCAGTAGTGGTTGTTTATACTCCCATATTCCAAATATCTCACGATTGGAAAGTGGGCTTGTTTTCCTCCTTGCTTCACTGCTTCCAAATCATTACAACTTGCCCTTCTTAAAAAAATAAAATAAAATAAAAATCCTACGCGTTTAAAGTTCATGCCTTTTGGTTATACCATACTCTTCCACTCTTCATTGGCATGTACCAGTTGCCTGGTCACTCGATCAATCTGGGGCTCCGGCTCCAGGGAGGGCCCGTTTTCTCCATATTAAATCTGCTACCACGTGGATGACTTCAGTGTTCCTGAATTAAGACCCGTCTGAGACCATGCCACCCTCCCCTATTTTCTAGATGTCCTCACATTTCTAATCTACTTCAACCAATCACATCCAATATTATATCATAGCACTTGTAATCACTTGTCTTCTACCCGTCCAGCTTGCTTCAGTCTCCCAACATACCATTCTTTAACCACATCAGTTCTTTATCCCATTACTTCTTACAATCATCATCCCTCTACTTTATTATACCTTTCTCTTTATCCAGCTTAGATTATGTTATCTTCCCACAACACTCCTGCCAATACCCTAAACTCACGCTTCCTTTTGGTCTCACCTATATGGCAACACACCAGTCCTGGATGAACTCAACTCTATGTGTTCTCTGTGCCTACATCTGCAACATCCCAGTGCTATCAGAGAAAGGCCCACAATGAGGTAGATTGGTAACCATTCCGATTTATTTTAATTAATCACAAATGGACTGTGATCACAAACCAGAAATTTTATTGTTTGTCTGGTTAACTTGCTCTTCTCCCTTTTCAATGACTGTTTCAGATTTTCTCCATGCTCCTCAAACCTCCAAACCTTTACCTTCCAGGCTCTCTCCTTCGACTTATCTCAATGCCTACTTCCCAAGGAACATAAAAAGCACTGGACGGGATTTTCTTCAATTTACCATTGCCAACCAAACCAAGCAACTCACATTTGCACTCATCTTTTCTTCTTGCCCTCCTGACTTAGTAAATGAGGTGTCTAGTTTTCTTCTCATCCAGGGCCAATCCTTTCTACCTTTTGTTCAGTTCCTGTCTCTTCATGCCTACACGTTAACTATTCTTTTTTTCTTTTGCCTATCTAAGCAGCTCCCATTTTAAATAAAATTCATTCTTTGACCTCAATCAACTCCTTCCAGTTATCAATCTATGTCTTGCCTTTCTTTACTGCTAAATTTCTCAAAAGAGTCACATACAGTCACTCTTCTGTTTCCTGGTTTACTGTCCATTTCTTAATCCACTCCAGTCTGCCTTTGGAATGCCACCAAACAGCACTCAAGTGACCTATATTCTTGAGGTCACTAAATTCAATGGACATTTTCTAGTCCTCATTTTACTTGACTTATCAGTGTTATTTGATACTTCAGACCACTCCTTTCTTTTTAATACAATGACTTCCTTTGACTTCTGTGACACCACACGCTCATTCTTTCTTGCCATCCTATTCAGCCTAACTCTGACCAATCCCATTTGTCCTTCACAGCCATCCTCCTGTTTCTGGCTTGTCATTTCTATAGCTCCTTGGCCCTGTTTTAGTCTCACTATATTTATACACTCTCCCCAGGCAATCTTACTCATAGCCATGGCTTAAACTTCTACTCACATAATTACTCCCAAATTGCTCCCAGTCTCAGCCCTGACTTCTCTGAGCTCCTACACATATATTCAACTGCCTCCACTGGGATGTACCAAAGGTACTCCAAATTCAACATGTCCAAAATTGAACTCATGATCCCTCCCTCCAGACCTCACAAATCCTAACGTTTTTTTAGGACTTCCTGTTTTCACGAATGGCATGACTATTCTTTATATTAAACAAGCCAGAAGCCTAGATTTCATCTCTGACACCTTCTCATTCACCAACCCATTATCATAACTGATGATGCTACCTTCAGAAAATCTAAAGCCTCCTAACTGGTCTCCCTGTACCAATTCTTGTTCCCCTCCAACCTATTCTTCAACCTACAGCCAGAGTGATCTTTTCAAGACAGAAATCTGATCACATTAACTCCTTGCTTAAAATCTTTCCATGGCTCCTATCTTCAAAGCATAATGACAAAAAACCTTAACATGACCAACAAATCCTTGCTTTGCCTGACCCTTTTATTCCTATCCAGCCTTATATTTCTGTCCTTTCTTTCCTGAGAAAAATAACAGAAGGGTCAGAGTACTCCTATTTTTCACTCTGTTTGAAAGGAAGCTTTTTCAGGCCTGCAAACACTTAGCTAAGTAAGATCCAGGTATTTCTTCTGTTTTAATCTGTCTGATTAAAACATTCTGGCCCAACGAAGGCCAGAAGATCTGGAGCTCAGGCCTCTTCAGGAAATCAAACATACCCATCTTTAGGCAGAAGATAAAGACAACTGCAGGTATATACCTAAATAATGTTTGCAGTATGTATATAATAGATAATATAGGAGGAAATACAATCATGCATCACTTAATGACAGGGATACATTCTGAGAAATGCATCATTAGGCGATTTCATTGTTGTGAGAACATCATAGATTGTACTTACACAAACCTAGATGGTATAGTCTACTACACACATAGGCCATATGGTATGGCCTATTGCTCCTAGGTTACAGACCTGTACAGCATGTTAATGTACTGAATACCGTATGCAACTGTAACACATGATATCTGTGTATCTAAACATATCTAAACATAGAAAACATACTATAAAAGTATGTATTATCATCTCATGGAACAACTGTTGTATATTCAGTCCATTGTTGACCAAAACATCATTATGCAGCATATAACTATATATTATTACTGAAAGTAATGAAAGCATCTAGTCCAGAGAGAAGAGGAAACACTAATTTTGGCAGACTCTAAAATACCTGAGAAACAACAACATTTAAAGGGTAGACAGAGATGTAAAAATCCATTAGAGAGACTGAAAATGAGCAGATATTAATAGAACAGTAGACAGAAAGCCAGGTGAACAGTGTTCCTCAAAAGTCAAGGGAAAAGAAAGAAAATAAGTGGTCAAAGAATAAAATGTTGCAGAATAGTGCAGTAACATAAAAATTATTTTATTTATAAATTATTTATTTGCATAAAGATTTAGCCACGAGGAGGCATCTAGTGACCTTGGAAGAGTCTTATCAGTAGAGTGAAGGAGGCAGAATCTAGGTTGAGGAGTGAATTAGAAGAAAGGAAGTGGACGTAGGAAGTCTAGGCCACTCTTTCAAGAAGAAGCCTGATCATACTCATATAGTGTTAACTGTGAGAAGGGAACAAGAGGCTAAAGATGTTTCTGGGTTGTTTTGTTTTGTTTAAGATGGTTAAGCATGTAGCATCTTTACATGCCGACAGAAAAGAGCCAGTAGAAAGGATATGAGAGAAAATAATTGATAGATCCCAAGTTCCATTATGGATATGGCAGAAGTGGAGCTCCAGAATGGGGTGGTGGGATTTACCTCGAAGGAAACAAGGCACAGTTATTCCCTGAGACAAGAACTACAGATGGGGCTGGAAACATGAAAGTGAGGATATGAAAGAGCTGTATAAAAAAGGAAGCTGTGGTTAAAAATAGTTAGAATACTGGAAATGGTAGAATTTGGGCAAGGGAGAAGGAAAGAAGACTAAAAAAATGAAGGTACGTGGAAGTATGTAATCAGGACACCAGTAGATAAGAGCAACAGGCAAAAGGCTGTGGGGAGTTAGAATTTTAACCTACCTTTGAGGTAGAAAGGGAAGGGAAGGGAAGGGAAGGGGAGAGGAGAGGAGAGGAAGAAAGAAAAAGAAAAGAAAGAAATGACATTCATGAAAGAGTGACTATAAATTGCTATAGAAATGTTAGATATTCTGACATTTCAGTGTTAGTGATACTTCTATTATTTTTACATTATTGACAGTATTTAGTTTATGTTCCCTTTAAAAAGCTTTGTATTTAAAGACATTGCTAATTGCTGTGACTAATAAAATTAGTAAAATACCAAACCTTATATTTTGAAAGTACACTCTAGTATACTTGTTTTCTTAATTTAATGCTATGAAAAACTTCTTTCCATCTCTATAAAAGAAAACATAAATCAACATGCCTGGATAATAATCTTGATGAATGTCTTTTGTTTTCTCTGACTTCAAGGGTTCAGAGAATGTTCTAACTGTTTCACATTTCATTGTTTCCTTTTCTGCTGTTTTAGCTGGTTGGTTCTGTGATGGCTTGACATCTTTGTATTTTTGCTCTTCATATTTTAAAAGTCTAATATGACAAAGAAAACAATTCTAAGAGAATAAATAATCACATCAATAAAATACTGAGCTGTGAGCATATTATCTAAAATTTCACATTTATAAGTAAAACAGCTTCTTAGGTTTAATAAATGCTATGGTTAACATTCTCTATAACTTAAAGATTGAATATTTATTCTATGCTTTATAATACAATATCATATCTATCCTTTCCAGTAATTTTTGATAGGCACTTTGAAAAGCAGATATGAAACATTCACATGGAGAATCTAGTTATTAAATGCTAAAT